TTAAGGCAGCTCTAGAGAAAAGAAGAAAGTCTCGTGGTGAAACAAGGAAAAAGGATTATATGGATGAGGATGATCTTATCGAGAGGGAGCTTGAAGATGGTGTTGAATTGGCAGTTGAGGATGAGAAAATCAAGCGGGAGCATAGGCAAAGCTGGTCAAAATCACATGAGAATTCAGATCATGGAAAGGAACCTGTGGAAACTGGAGATGACAACAATTTTGGCACCAAAGGACAGTCATCAAGGGGATCTGAAACTGAGAATGCTGAAGAAGGGGAAATGGTTGATGATGCTTCCCCCATGGTGAACGGTCGAAAGAGAAAAGCCGGGAGCCCAGTGGATAGGTCATTGGAAGGAAAGAAGCGACATGAGTACATGTCAAGTTACAACCACGACAACGTAGAAGATGGACACAAGATGAATCGCTCTAATTATGCAGATAGAGAATACAGAAGGCATCCACAAGAGAATCATTTGTGAGGTAAAAAACGATATCTGGAATTGGCTTTACATGGTCTTATATTCTTTTGTCAATGATGGCTGACCATTACTATGATCTATATCTTTGAACACCCGATGAATTAAACGGTCAGTCTGATCTTTGGACACTGAAACTTTTGCTGATTGTATTACAATTAGTTTGATTTTGGGGTTGCCTGTAATGGCTCATAGTTTTATTGTAAAACATGTTGAGAAATGAGGATGCTTCAATCTCTCTTATAATGAAAGAGCCCTGAGAAAGTAAGAGGTTTTTTTTTTTTTTTTTTTGTTTCCTATTCAGTGAGACATGAAGAAGAAACTCATAGTGCAGATCCGCATTTTATTTTATTCATATAGTATATTATTATTTTTTATTACTAGTAGATATATTTTTGAAATAAAAACGTAAAGTGAGAAAATTTCATGTCGACTGGATAGAGGGTCCTTTGGGTTATATGTATTAGTTATATGGAAATAGTATGAAAGTCTTATGACCATGAGATCTGCTCACATAAGGTTTGAGGTTTGAGCCCACTCATGGGTACCTGGATCCCGTTTCCGAAGATTATAGGGTCTGGTGGGTAGGGGTGGAAAAAAAAAAAACTGAAAACTGGATTGATCCGAAAAACCGGACCGAAACTAGTCCGAAAATTCGGTTTTTTTTTTCGGTTTCGGTTCTGTTTTGGTTTGCCGCATTTTGTAAACTGAATATTCAGTTTGGTTTTGGTTTTTTGAAATATTAAAAAGGGTAAACCGGTTTAATGAATAAAAAAATAATTTTATATTTTTTAATTTTTAAAAAATTTATCCCTAGGTCTTCACTAATGCGCATTGTCCAAAATTCAATTTAAAAAAAAATAATTTTATATTTTGCGCATTTTTAAAAAATTTATCCCGAAGTCTTTATTAATGTAATTTTAAATTATTAATACTTGATGTACATTAAAATTATATGAATTTAAATTATTCAATTACAATAAATATAACTTTAATTCAAGTTAAAAAAAAAAAACCTAGAAAAAAAAAAAATTGGGCCAAAGTGGAGGGTTTGACCGAATTGGGCCAAGCAAATGCAGTCCATTATAATTAACCGGTTACCAGAACTTAATTTTCGGTTCGGTTTTAAACCGGTTTATAACCAAAACCGAACCGATTTTGGATCAATTTTTTCTTGAAGCCGAAAATCGGTTTAGTTCAAGATACGGGTTAACCAGTTCGGTTAACCAGTTTTTTCCACCCCTATTGGTGGGGGCTCTAGCTTCAAACTTGGCTTGTGAAGCAAGTATAGGTAAATTTGGATTATATATAGAAAGAAAATGTATGAAGTTTTGTAAGTATCATGTTCTATAGAATGTGTTGAGAGGTTATGGAAGCTCCTGGATAGGCTCATAATCAGTTTGTTGATGTATTTTTGTACTTGAGTGTGTCGAATTATTTGTAATATCTTTATTCAAACGTAATATTTCGGGGTGGAATAAAAATTTTAAATTTTTTGTGAAGTAACTTGCCTTCTTAGTGGCAGAATTCAATGTTTTAAAACCCAATCTGTTGTGAGATCCGACAAAGTGATCGTGTCATGAGTCCATTGGTACAATTTCCAGTTGGTGGTGTCATGAGTCGATTGGTACAATTCCCACTTGGTGACATCGGCAAACAAAAGTATTTTTTAAAAAGTTGTAAGTTAAATCTTTTAAATTTTAGTATATTAAAAAGTACCCTAATAAATATCAAGTTATTCCCTAAAATTTTAATTTATTTTAAAAATGCCCAAAAAAATTAAATTAATCCCTAATGTTTTGAAATATTTTAAAACACCCCTTAAAATTACAAATTAGTTCTTATAAATTTGAAATATAGCAAAACTTCACTAGAACCTGAACTGGACCAGAAAAACTATTGGGTCTCAGTCGGATCGGTCTGACCGATCGGTTCAGACTAGGTTCTAACATAGGCAAAATTACAAGTCTATTTCTGAACAATTCATTTGATGAAATACCCTTTTTATCCAATTAATGTGGTAAATAATCCCATAATGTAGTACCTCCTTATCTTATTATAATTATGGTAAGTTATAATACTAATCTCCGTATTTCATCCTTAATATTTTTTTAAATCAAGTATCACTTACATCTACAGCTAAATTTTATAAAACTATTACAAGATCACTAAATATTGGGTGGTTTTTAGATGTAATATTACAAAAAAAAAAAAAAAAATGTTATGATAATAATATAATATGAGTTAAGAAGACATCAACCCTGAGGTTTGACATAATTACAAAAAATTTCCGTGAATTTTTTTTTTCCTGTTATTATGAGTTAAAAAGGCTGGTTTGATATAGAATTTAAATATATATTTTTTTAAATCTTATGAAAAATGTGTTTCGTAAAAATAGTAGAATTGTTTTCAAGAGCAGTTTTTGAATACAATCTTAAAAACTAATGTAAAATTAGAATACAACTAAACATTTTTTTCACAGTTTTCTACAACTTTTAATCAAAAAATAGTATTTAAATTTTATATCAAATATTAAAAATATTAAAATACAATTAAAAAATTTGAATTGTATTTTAGTTTATGAAAATTATTTTTGAATCACAAATCAAACAGGGTCATATTTTACTTAGTTATATCTTTGCTGTATATTTTTAATACCTAAAACATAATACTAAGGGGCGTTTAGTTGGAGTGTATACGAGATTATTAGGGTAATGTCATCTTATATTACTTATTTTTATTATATTTGGTTATTAAGTAATATAACATTCCGGTAATCTTTCAAAATTAATTGTAATTACTATTGGTTATAGATGTGGTAATCTAAATACGACCATTTTCTTTGGTATTTTAAAATTACTTATTAATCTTAATTTAGTTACAATTTTACCTTTAACAATTAAAATTTTTGGACAATAGTACCTTTGTTTTGAAAACAGTTTACAAAAATATTCATGAACTATTTTATCTTTATATACAAAATTTTTAGGACATAAATACCTTTGAACTTGAAAATAATTACCCAAGACGGGTGGCCAAATCTGGCCACCATAGTAGGCGTTAGAATGATGCACAATCGGTCGATCTAGTCGGCCGTGTGCCATTCTGGCCACCATCGCCAGCGGTGGTGGCCAACAATGGCTTGAGTATTTTTGTTAATTTTTTAACTTGTATTATAAGGGTGTTTTAGCTAAATTCTCAAATATAGAGGGTTCAAATAGTTTAAATAATAATAATATAACAATAACATTAAAAAATAAGGGCATATTAGTAATCTATATAACATACCCATCAATTTATTCATCCAAATCAAATATATTAATATAATATATCTACTACTTTACTTTAATCTAATAAAATATATTTAATATAACATTCTCAGTAGTTTTTAAGGTAATCTATCTTCTCTTTAATATAACATTATTTGAATCAAACGTATCCTAAAAGAATATTCGTTATTTTAGAAACTTGAGCAATATTTTTGTCATTTAATGGAACTTGAGAATTAATTTAACTCTAATATAAATATCACATTTTCATAATCTTATAAGTCTAAAAAGTTGTCTTAAAATTTTTCATCACGGCTTATGGTAAGAAATACTTAGGGGGGTGTTTGGTTCAGGAATGTTAGATTACTGGGAATGTTGGATTACTGGAAAGATAGATAACCTTTGAAGATTATTGAGAATCTTTAAGAAAATATGTTTGGTTAGTTGGTGGGTATGTTATATTAATTTGGTTGGTTATGAGGAATAAATTGGTGGGTATGTTATTTAAATTACTAAATTGTCCCCTTTACAAATATTAATATAATATTATTTTTATTATTAATTTTTGAATAATTTTTTTTAACCCCCAATATTTCAGATTTAGATAAAATACCCCTGCTTATTTAAAACTTTAATTTATTACGAAATCACCCCTACCTCCTACCGCCACTGCAGACCACCGCCGAAAGTCTTCGAAAGTCCCCATCAGCAGCTCACCGTGACCAAGAAGCTTCGATATGGCCGTTAATGGCCAGATCCCTGGCCATTATCGGCTAGATCTGGGCAAGATTTGACCTGGCCGTTAACGGCCATATCTATTTCGGCCAGATCTCGCCCAGATCTGGTCAGAAATGGCTAGGGATCTGGCTGAAAATGGCTAGATCTGGCCTGATATAGCCGTTTTCGATCATCAATATGGCCGGAAACAGCCATATCGAAGCCTCCCACTGAAACTCGTTCTTTTTTAGGGACTCCGACGAGTTTTCGGCAGCGGTCCATAGTGGTTGGCCGCTGTCGACGGTGGTGGCTGGGTGGTAGTGGTGCTGGTGGCTGAGTGGTAGTAGTGGTCTGTAAATTGTTTTAAATATAAAGATATTATTGTCCAAAATTTTAGTTAAACAAGGGTAAAATTGAAATAGGATATTAATGTAAATTTATTTTAAAATGAAGGCATTATTGTCCAAAATTTTTATTAATAAGGGATAAAATTGTAACAAAAAAATATAACTCTGATAATCTCAAAATACCTAAGAGAATGGAGGTAATCAGATTATCTCAAATATTACCAATAGTAATTACTATTGATATTTAAAGATTACCAGAATCTTATATTACTTGACAATCAAACATAATAATTAAGTAATATAAGATAACATTACCTTAATAATATAGTCGATCTTTGGACACTGAAACTTTTGCTGATTGTATTACAATTAGTTTGATTTTGGGGTTGCCTGTAATGGCTCAGTTTTATTGTAAACATGTTGAGAAATGAGGATGCTTCAATCTCTCTATAATGAAAGAGCCCTGAGAAAGTAAGAGGTTTTTTTTTTTTTGTTTCCTATTCAGTGAGACATGAAGAAGAAACTCATAGTGCAGATCCGCATTTTATTTTATTCATAAGTATATTATTATTTTTTATTACTAGTAGATATATTTTGAAATAAAAACGTAAAGTGAGAAAATTTCATGTCGACTGGATAGAGGGTCCTTGGGTTATATGTATTAGTTATATGGAAATAGTATGAAAGTCTTTGACCATGAGATCTGCTCAAATAAGGTTTGAGGTTGAGCCCATATGGGTACCTGGATCCCGTTTCCGAAGTTATAGGGTCTGGTGGGTAGGGGTGGAAAAAAAAAAACTGAAAAATGGATTGATCCGAAAAAACCGGACCGAAACTAGTCCGAAAATTCGGTTTTTTTTTTCGGTTTCGGTTCTGTTTTGGTTTGCGCATTTTGTAAACTGAATATTCAGTTTGTTTTTGGTTTTTTGAAATATTAAAAAGGGTAAACCGGTTTAATGAAAAAAAAATAATTTTATATTTTTAATTTTAAAAAATTTATCCCTAGGTCTTCACTAATGCGCATTGTCAAAATTCAATTTAAAAAAAAATAATTTTATATTTTGCGCATTTTAAAAATTTACCCGAAGTCTTATTAATGTAATTTTAAATTATTAATACTTGATGTACATTAAATTATATGAATTTAAATTATTCAATTACAATAATATAACTTTAATTCAAGTTAAAAAAAAAAAACCTAGAAAAAAAAAATTGGGCCAAAGTGGAGGGTTTGACCGAATTGGGCCAAGCAAATGCAGTCCATTATAATTAACGGTTACCAGAACTTAATTTTGGTCGGTTTTAAACCGGTTTAACCAAAACCGAACCGATTTTGGATCAATTTTTTCTGAAGCCGAAATCGGTTTAGTTCAAGAGTTAACCAGTTCGGTTAACCAGTTTTCCACCCCTATTGGTGGGGCTCTAGCTTCAAACTTGGCTTGTGAGCAAGTATAGGTAAATTTGGATTAATATAGAAAGAAAATGTATGAAGTTTTGTAAGTATCATGTTCTATAGAATGTGTTGAGAGGTTATGGAAGCTCCTGGATGGCTCTAATCAGTTTGTTGAGTATTTTGTACTTGAGTGTGTCGAATTATTTGTAATACTTTATTCAAACGTAATATTTCGGGGGGAATAAAAATTTTAAATTTTTTGTGAAGTAACTTGCCTTCTTAGTGGCAGAATTCAATGTTTTAAAACCCAATCGTTGTGAGATCCGACAAAGTGATGTGTCATGAGTCCATTGGTACAATTTCCAGTGGTGGTGTCATGAGCGATTGGTACATCCCACTGGTGGACATCGGCAAACAAAAGTATTTTTAAAAAGTTGTAAGTTAAATCTTTTAAATTTAGTATATTAAAAGTACCTAATAAATAAAGTTATTCCCAAAATTTTAATTTATTTAAAAATGCCCAAAAAATAAATAATCCCTAAGTTTTGAAATATTTTAAAACACCCCTTAAAATTACAAATTAGTTCTTATAAATTTGAAATATAGCAAAACTCACAGAACTGAACTGGACCAGAAAAACTATTGGGTCTCAGTCGGATCGGTCTGACCGATCGGTTCAGATAGGTTCTAACAGGCAAAATTACAAGTCTATTTCTAACAATTCATTTGATGAAATACCCTTTTTATCCAATTAATGTGGTAAATAATCCCAAATGTAGTACCTCCTTATCTTATTATAATTATGGTAAGTTATAATACTAATCTCCGTATTTCATCCTTAATATTTTTTTAAATCAAGTATCACTTACATCTACAGCAAATTTTAAAACTGATTTGAGTATTTGCTGTCATTTGCCTCATTGTCCTCTCTCTCCTGTACAACAAACTCCCTTCGGCTTCTCCTCTTTTTCCAACGGAATATAAATCTTTTGACTCTGCAAATCTTTCCTTTTCAATCACGGCTTTGATATATAGTCACCATTAGGTCTGTAGCCCTTAGTAGCGGTCCACATGTACAATGATTTTTCTTTGTTATTGTTTCTTTTCCTTTTTATTAAAAAAATTCTTAAACCTATGAGTGTGCTCTGGAGGGTCTTTAGAACTTAGCAGAAACTATACTCTGTTGAGTTATGGAAAGTGTTTTCTTTTAGTCTCATTTTATCAGTCTTTTTTCACCTTCCCCATGATTCCTTATTCTTGCTGAGAATCCACCTTTTTTATCACCAACAGCTGTATCATTGGTAAATCCTCTCCCTGTTACCTTCGTTCATTTATTTAGTTTGGTTTATTTGTTTCATTTGCTGTTAGTTTAATGTGTAATTATAATCTTGTAGCATATTCATTTATTCACCTTTAACTTGCAGGAGGTATATGAGCAACAAAAAGAGCTTATTTTACTTGGTGAGAGAGTTGTACTTGCCACTCTGGGTTTCGACCTCAATGTTCATCATCCTTATAAACCCCTCGTTGAAGCAATAAAGAAATTCAAGGTCGCTCAAAATGCTCTTGCTCAAGTTGCGTGGAACTTTGTAAATGATGGGTATGCTTAAAAAGCTGTTTTCTCTAGTTTTTAATATTTATCTTCCTTCTATTTCTCTTCGTCACACACTGGAAAGCGGCTTGCAGGCTGAGGACCTCGCTCTGCCTGCAATTTAAGCCTCATCACATTGCGGCAGGTGCCATTTTCCTTGCTGCCAAGTTCCTCAAAGTGAAGCTTCCATCTGATGGGGAGAAGGTCTGGTGGCAAGAATTTGATGTCACCCCACGCCAATTGGAGGGTTGGTTTCCTCCCCTATTTTTTTTAGTAAATATTAATGGACTCCATGGGCCAGACTTCAAACAACTCCATGGCACTAATGCTGCTTATGGTTGTTCACTTTGAGCATTTGACCCATGAGATTTTGTTAAAAGTTTATCCCAGTCATATGTTCGTAGCTATCCTTCTTTATCCATAACTTGTCAAAACCTAGGGAATGAGATTATGTTGGTCTGTGAAATAGACTTTGATAATGTATATAATACAGTTGTCTACTTCGTCAAAAATTTAGCGGTCACAGTTTTATATGCCAAATGGTGTGCCATGGAGGCTGACTGTTATGTCTGGGCTGTCCTTTTGTGTCCTTAACTTCATACCAGTTTGGATAATGTTTTGAATGATCACAATTTGCAGAGGTTAGCAATCAAATGCTGGAATTGTACGAGCAAAACAGAGTGCCCCAATCTCAGGGTAGTGAAGTGGAAGGAAGTGCTGGTCCGGCATCAACTCATCGGGCCCCAAAAACTCCAGCACTAAGTGAAGAACAGGCTTCAAAGCAACTTTCATCCCGTCCAGCTAGTGAACACTTGCATCTAGAAAACCATGGAGCAGCACCAAGAACATCTCAAAGTAACCAAAATAACGATGACGGAAGTGGAGAGATGGGTAGTGTTATTACTGACCATAAGGTGGATGCTGAAACTAAAGATAATCAGCATCCTGAGGAATTGTCTCACAAGGATAATTCAAGAGAAGTTCAAAACAAATCTAAATCTGGGATTGAGCGAATCGCTGAAGACCAAGGAAGGGCTGGTGGAAGGAATGATGCTGCAGATGCAGGAGAATGGAGAGATGATGGTGCATCACGCAAATCTAGCAGCGTTGTTGGTCGAAATGTAGATATTCGGGAAGGTCCTGTGAGCCAGTCGCCCAAAGAAGCTATTAAGATGATTGACAAAGATAAGGTTAAGGCAGCTCTAGAGAAAAGAAGAAAGTCTCGTGGTGAAACAAGGAAAAAGGATTATATGGATGAGGATGATCTTATCGAGAGGGAGCTTGAAGATGGTGTTGAATTGGCAGTTGAGGATGAGAAAATCAAGCGGGAGCATAGGCAAAGCTGGTCAAAATCACATGAGAATTCAGATCATGGAAAGGAACCTGTGGAAACTGGAGATGACAACAATTTTGGCACCAAAGGACAGTCATCAAGGGGATCTGAAACTGAGAATGCTGAAGAAGGGGAAATGGTTGATGATGCTTCCCCCATGGTGAACGGTCGAAAGAGAAAAGCCGGGAGCCCAGTGGATAGGTCATTGGAAGGAAAGAAGCGACATGAGTACATGTCAAGTTACAACCACGACAACGTAGAAGATGGACACAAGATGAATCGCTCTAATTATGCAGATAGAGAATACAGAAGGCATCCACAAGAGAATCATTTGTGAGGTAAAAAACGATATCTGGAATTGGCTTTACATGGTCTTATATTCTTTTGTCAATGATGGCTGACCATTACTATGATCTATATCTTTGAACACCCGATGAATTAAACGGTCAGTCTGATCTTTGGACACTGAAACTTTTGCTGATTGTATTACAATTAGTTTGATTTTGGGGTTGCCTGTAATGGCTCATAGTTTTATTGTAAAACATGTTGAGAAATGAGGATGCTTCAATCTCTCTTATAATGAAAGAGCCCTGAGAAAGTAAGAGGTTTTTTTTTTTTTTTTTTTGTTTCCTATTCAGTGAGACATGAAGAAGAAACTCATAGTGCAGATCCGCATTTTATTTTATTCATATAGTATATTATTATTTTTTATTACTAGTAGATATATTTTTGAAATAAAAACGTAAAGTGAGAAAATTTCATGTCGACTGGATAGAGGGTCCTTTGGGTTATATGTATTAGTTATATGGAAATAGTATGAAAGTCTTATGACCATGAGATCTGCTCACATAAGGTTTGAGGTTTGAGCCCACTCATGGGTACCTGGATCCCGTTTCCGAAGATTATAGGGTCTGGTGGGTAGGGGTGGAAAAAAAAAAAACTGAAAACTGGATTGATCCGAAAAACCGGACCGAAACTAGTCCGAAAATTCGGTTTTTTTTTTCGGTTTCGGTTCTGTTTTGGTTTGCCGCATTTTGTAAACTGAATATTCAGTTTGGTTTTGGTTTTTTGAAATATTAAAAAGGGTAAACCGGTTTAATGAATAAAAAAATAATTTTATATTTTTTAATTTTTAAAAAATTTATCCCTAGGTCTTCACTAATGCGCATTGTCCAAAATTCAATTTAAAAAAAAATAATTTTATATTTTGCGCATTTTTAAAAAATTTATCCCGAAGTCTTTATTAATGTAATTTTAAATTATTAATACTTGATGTACATTAAAATTATATGAATTTAAATTATTCAATTACAATAAATATAACTTTAATTCAAGTTAAAAAAAAAAAACCTAGAAAAAAAAAAAATTGGGCCAAAGTGGAGGGTTTGACCGAATTGGGCCAAGCAAATGCAGTCCATTATAATTAACCGGTTACCAGAACTTAATTTTCGGTTCGGTTTTAAACCGGTTTATAACCAAAACCGAACCGATTTTGGATCAATTTTTTCTTGAAGCCGAAAATCGGTTTAGTTCAAGATACGGGTTAACCAGTTCGGTTAACCAGTTTTTTCCACCCCTATTGGTGGGGGCTCTAGCTTCAAACTTGGCTTGTGAAGCAAGTACGGGCAAATTTGGATTATATATAGAAAGAAAATGTATGAAGTTTTGTAAGTATCATGTTCTATAGAATGTGTTGAGAGCTTATGGAAGCTCCTGGATAGGCTCATAATCAGCTTGTTGATGTATTTTTGTACTTGAGTGTGTCGAATTATTTGTAATATCTTTATTCAAATGTAATATTTCGGGGGGGAATAAAAATTTTAAATTTTCTGTGAAGTAACTTGCCTTCTTAGTGGCGGAATTCAATGTTTTAAAACCCGATCTATTGTGAGATCCGGCAAAGTGATCGTGTCATGAGTCGATTGGTACAATTTCCACTTGGTGGTGTCCTGAGTCGATTGGTACAATTCCCAGTTGGTGACATCGGTAACAAAAGTATTTTTAAAAAAGTTGTAAGTTAATCTTTTAAATTTTAGTATATTAAAAAGTACCCTAATAAATATCAAGTTATTCCCTGAAATTTTAATTTATTTTAAAAATGCCCAAAAAAATTAAATTAATCCCTAATGTTTTGAAATATTTTAAAACACCCCTTAAAATCACAAATTAGTTCTTATAAATTTGAAATATAGCAAAACTCCACTAGAACCTGAACTGGACCAGAAAGACTATTGGGTCTCAGTCGGATCGGTCTGACCGATCGGTTCAGTCTGGGTTCTAACATAGGCAAAATTGCAAGTCTATTTCTGAGCAATTCATTTGATGAAATACCCTTTTTATCCAATTAATGTGGTAAATAATCCCATAATGTAGTACCTCCTTATCTTATTATAATTATGGTAAGTTATAATACTAATCTCCGTATTTCATCCTTAATATTTTTTTAAATCAAGTATCACTTACATCTACAGCTCAATTTTATAAAACTATTACAAGATCACTAAATAATGGGTGGTTTTTAGATGTAATATTACAAAAAAAAAAAAAAATGTTATGATAATAATATAATATGAGTTAAGAAGACATCAACCCTGAGGTTTGACATAATTACAAAAAATTTACGTGAATTTTGTTTTTCCTGTTATTATGAGTTAATAAGGCTGTTTGATATAGAATTTAAATATATATATTTTTAAATCTTATGAAAAATGTGTTTCGTAAAAATAGTAGAATTGTTTTCAAGAGCAATTTTTGAATACAATATTAAAAACTAATGTAAAACTAGAATACAACTAAACATTTTTTTCACAATTTTCTACAACTTTTAATCAAAAAATAGTATTTAAATTTTATATCAAATATTAAAAATATTAAAATACAACTAAAAAATTTGAATTGTATTTTAGTTTATGAAAATTATTTTTGAATCACAAATCAAACAGGCTCATATTTTACTTAGTTATATCTTTGCCGTATTTTTTTAATACCTAAAACATAATACTAGGGGGCGTTTAGTTGGAGTGTATACGAGATTATTGGGGTAATATCATCTTATATTATTTATTTTTATTATATTTGGTTATCAAGTAATATAACATTCCGGTAATCTTTCAAAATTAATTGTAATTACTATTGGTTATAGAGGTGGTAATCTAAATACGACCATTTTCTTTGGTATTTTAAAATTATTTATTAATCTTAATTTAGTTACAATTTTACCTTTAATTATTAAAATTTTTGGACAATGATACCTTTATTTTGAAAACAGTTTACAAAAATATTCATGAACTATTTTATCCTTATATACAAAATTTTTAGGACATAAATACCCTTGAACTTGAAAATAATTACCCAAGACGGGTGGCCAAATCTGGCCACCATAGCAGGTGTTAGAATGATGCACAATCGGTCGGTCTAGTCGACCGTGTGCCATTCAATGGCTTGATTATTTTTGTTAATTTTTTAACTTGTATTATAAGGGTGTTTTAGTTAAATTCCCAAATACATGGGGTTAAAATAGTCTAAATAATAATAATATAACAATAACATTAAAAAAGAAGGGCAAATTAGTAATCTATATAACATACCCACCAGTTTATTCATCCAAATCAAATATATTAATATAACATATCTACTACTTTACTTTAATCTAATAAAATATATTTAATATAACATTCTCAGTAGTTTTTAAAGTAATATATCTTCTCTTTAATATAACATTATTTGAATCAAACGTACCATAAAAGAATATTCGTTATTTTAGAAACTTGAGCAATATTTTTGTCATTTAATGAAACTTGAGAATTAATTTAACTCTAATATAAATATCACATTTTCATAATCTTATAAGTCTAAAAAGTTGTCTTAAAATTTTTCATCACGGCTTATGGTAAGAAATACTTAGGGGGGTGTTTGGTTCAGGAATGTTAGATTACTGGGAATGTTGGATTACTGGAAAGATAGATAACCTTTGAAGATTATTGAGAATCTTTAAGAAAATATGTTTGGTTAGTTGGTGGGTATGTTATATTAATTTGGTTGGTTATGAGGAATAAATTGGTGGGTATGTTATTTAAATTACTAAATTGTCCCCTTTACAAATATTAATATAATATTATTTTTATTATTAATTTTTGAATAATTTTTTTTAACCCCCAATATTTCAGATTTAGATAAAATACCCCTGCTTATTTAAAACTTTAATTTATTACGAAATCACCCCTACCTCCTACCGCCACTGCAGACCACCGCCGAAAGTCTTCGAAAGTCCCCATCAGCAGCTCACCGTGACCAAGAAGCTTCGATATGGCCGTTAATGGCCAGATCCCTGGCCATTATCGGCTAGATCTGGGCAAGATTTGACCTGGCCGTTAACGGCCATATCTATTTCGGCCAGATCTCGCCCAGATCTGGTCAGAAATGGCTAGGGATCTGGCTGAAAATGGCTAGATCTGGCCTGATATAGCCGTTTTCGATCATCAATATGGCCGGAAACAGCCATATCGAAGCCTCCCACTGAAACTCGTTCTTTTTTAGGGACTCCGACGAGTTTTCGGCAGCGGTCCATAGTGGTTGGCCGCTGTCGACGGTGGTGGCTGGGTGGTAGTGGTGCTGGTGGCTGAGTGGTAGTAGTGGTCTGTAAATTGTTTTAAATATAAAGATATTATTGTCCAAAATTTTAGTTAAACAAGGGTAAAATTGAAATAGGATATTAATGTAAATTTATTTTAAAATGAAGGCATTATTGTCCAAAATTTTTATTAATAAGGGATAAAATTGTAACAAAAAAATATAACTCTGATAATCTCAAAATACCTAAGAGAATGGAGGTAATCAGATTATCTCAAATATTACCAATAGTAATTACTATTGATATTTAAAGATTACCAGAATCTTATATTACTTGACAATCAAACATAATAATTAAGTAATATAAGATAACATTACCTTAATAATATGAAATTACCGTCAATCAAATGCCCCCTTATATTGATATTATTTGATACATGTAACTCTCCAACACACCAAACAAGATATCAGAAAACTAGAACATGTAAAGCACACGACCACATTGGCCCAAGTAATACCTCTTATCCAAACTTTCCCTAGAAAAGATAGACAGAAAATCTNGGGCGTTTGGTTCAAGAATGTTAGATTACTAGGAATGTTGAATTACTAGAAAGATAGATAACCTTGGAAGATTACTGGGAATATTTAAGAAAATATGTTTGGTTAGTTGGTGGATATGTTATATTAATATAGTTGGTTATGGGGAATAAATTGGTGGGTATATTATTTAAATTACTAAATTGTCCCCTTTACAAATATTAATATAATATTATTTTTATTATTAATTTTTGAATAATTTCTTTTAACCCCCAATATTTCAGATTTAGTTAAAACACCCCTGCTTATTTAAAACTTTAATTTATTACGAAATCACCCCCACCTCCTGCCACCACCGCAGACCACCACCGGAAGTCTCTGAAAGTCCCCATCAACAACTCACCGTGACCAAGAGGCTTCGATATGGCCATTTTCGGCCATCAATCTTCGGCCATATTGATGGCCGAAAACGGTGAGATTTGGCCGTTAATGGCCACAGACCTGGCCGTTAATGGCCACAGACCTGGCCGTTAACGGCCAGATCTATTTCTAGCAGATCTCGCCCAGATCTGGCCGATAATGGCTAGGGATCTGGCCTGATATGGCCGTTTTCGGTCATCAATATGGCCGAAAACGGCCATATCAAAGCCTCCCGAAGCCTCCCACCGAAACTCTTTCTTTTTTAGGGACTCCGGTGAGTTTTCGGCAACGGTCCATAGTGGTTGGCCGCTGTCGGTGGTGGTGTCTGGGTAGTAGTGATGGTGGTGGCTGAGTGACAGTGGTGGTATGTAAATTGTTTTAAATATAAGGACATTATTGTCCAAAATTGTAGTTAAATAAGGGTAAAATTGAAATAGGATATTAATATAAATTTATTTTAAATGAGAGCATTATTGTCCAAAATTTTCATTAATAAGGGATAAAATTGTAACAAAAAAATATAACCATGGTAATCTCAGAATACCTAAGAAAATAGAGGTAATTAGATTACCTTAAATATTACCAATAGTAACTACTATTGATATTTAAAGATTACTAAAATCTTATACTGCTTGATAACTAAATTTGATAATTAAATAATATAAAATAACATTATTCCAATACCCTGACATTACCGCGAATCAAACGCCCCCTCGTATTGATATTATTTGATACATGTAGCTCTCTAACACACCAAACGAGATATCAGAAAACTAGAACATGTAAAGCACACGACCACATTGGCCCAAGTAATACCTCTTATCCAAACTTTCCCTAGAAAAGATAGACAGAAAATCTCTAACCCACAACCAAACACTCCTCTACCCAATCACCTCCTGCCACCTCATCATCTTCCCTCCTTCTCACCTTATCCATCCTCCCACCACTAATCTCCCTTTCTCAGAATCTAAAAACCTTTCCTCCACACTCTCCTCTCAATCTCAATCTCATCAAACCCTTTCTTCTTCTTCCTCTTCAAAATTCTCCCTTTAAAATAACCCAAAAATTTATAAGAAAAAAAACCCTGAAAAAAACCTTAGAAAATGTCTCTCACCATACCCACCAATCTCTCCAAACCCCTCTTGAAACCGAAGCTAAATTCTCAAAAATGTTCAAGACCCATGATCACATGCTCCGCCGCTCCAACCCCAGATCAGAAACCTTCTCCTCCGCCGCTGCAGGCCTTCTCCGCAGCGTTGGCGCTCTCCTCTATCCTCCTCTCCGCCCCGCTCCCGGCCGCAGCTGACATCTCCGGGCTAACCCCGTGCAAGGAGTCGAAACAGTTCGCGAAACGAGAGAAGCAACAGATAAAGAAGCTCGAATCTTCGTTGAAACTCTACGCGCCAGACAGCGCGCCGGCTCTGGCCATTAAAGCGACGGTGGAGAAAACGAAACGTAGATTCGATAACTACGGGAAACAGGGGTTGCTTTGCGGGTCGGATGGGTTGCCCCATTTGATCGTGAGCGGCGATCAGAGGCACTGGGGAGAGTTCATTACGCCGGGGATTTTGTTCTTGTACATTGCCGGGTGGATTGGGTGGGTTGGAAGGAGCTACTTGATCGCCATTAGCGACGAAAAGAAGCCAGCGATGAAGGAGATTATTATTGATGTACCGTTGGCTTCACGGCTGCTGTTCAGAGGTTTCAGTTGGCCGGTTGCTGCTTACAGAGAGTTTGTTAATGGTGATCTTGTTGTCAAGGATGTGTAATCTAATCGCCTCATCAGGTTTGTCATCGTCATTCATTCAGCTTTTTTAGTAACAGGGATGCGAGTGATAGTTTCCGAACTGTTGGGGGTGTTTGTGAAGTCACTCAAAAAATGAGGGGCAGATTAATAGCAGAAGGAAAAAGAGAATAATAAATAAAATCATCACCCCATGTAAATTTTTTTTTTTTAAAATATTATATATTAATCATGAAAGACCCAGAGAATTTTTACTTTATTTGAAAAATTAAACGAAAAATACATCGGATTTGTTTCATATACCTCTCATGAGATCTATTAATATAATTAAGCCAAATTAATGAGGGAAACGAAATTTCACATTTGTTATATGCTTTTATATTGATTTAAATCTGATCATATTTTGATTTTGGGCATGCAGAGAGATGGAATGGAAAATAGAAAATGCTTGATATGGTGGAGGACGAAAGATGGGATGAGAGGGGAGGAATGATTAATTAGTGCAAAATTTTCTGTATTTAATTTGTAAAACTTGGTTGTATGCAATGCTGGTCTTCAATTAATACTCAAAAATCATCCTCTTTTCCATTCAATTTTCACTTGTGAAATTTTAATTAATTACTTTTTGTTATCATTGATTTGGCAATCCTACATCATTATATGGTACTTAAAATTCTGCACTAGCTTAACCAATGTTCATTAATGAATTATTTATTATATGGAAATATACTCATCATGTAAAATATATATATATACACACAACAATCTACCTGGCCTGACAACTTATGAAATTTTGTCAATTTTTGTGTATTTTAGAAATTTACGGATATTATCAATTAGGGTACAAACTTTTTAGTCTTAATGGAGAATAGAAGTTATAATTTATTCAATTAGCGGACATCTAACAGCTATTTGCTGCTAACTTTAACGGCAGGTCGAATGACATCTTCCCATCCCAAGTTTGCCCTAACAACAATTTATTACGCAAAAAGTTTGAAAATGACAATTACCCACCAACCGTTAAGATTTGTTAGATAGTTTTTCATCTACCATTAAGATCTGTTAGTAAAATCCGTTTAAAGCAAAAAATGTTATTAACATAGTTGGAAGAAATGGTGGTCGACGACAGGGAAAATAGTCGATAAAAACCCAATCAATCAACAACCAATTCAATCCCACAAGACAATCAATCTCCAATTCAAAACAACTCAAAAATAGCCTCTAATCAAACCTAATTTCAACTGTTTTGCAAAACCCTAAGATGAGTGGCGATTGCAAACGACGAGCTATCATGGTTGGGGATGTTAGGGGTTTTGAAGGGGGGATGCTGGTGAGTGAAGGGGTGGTGATGGGTGGGGTTTTCGTTGTCAAAATCAGCCAGAATTCGACATAAAAGAGTCGCGCGAAAAAAGCCAGCAGTGGCCAGTGACAAACGGTAGGCTACCTTGGTTGGGGATTTTGGGGGTTTTGAAGAGGGGATGCTGGAGAGTGAAGAGGTGGTGACGGGTGGGGTTTTCATCGTCGGAATTTGGCTTAAAATAATCGTGTGACTCGCAAAAAAATCTTGCAGTGGCCAGTGGTGAATGGCAGGCTACTATGGTCGGGGATGTTGGGGGTTTTGTAGGGGGATGCCGATGAGTAGAAGGGTGGTGACGGATGCGGTTTTCGTTGCCAAAATCAACCAAAATCTAGCTTAAAATAGTTGTTAGAATCAGATGGGAGGAAGGGGAGATGTAGAAGAAGAAGAAGAAGATAGGAGTAGTTCAGGGTTTTTTATTTTATTTTTTATTTTTTTTATAACAAGGGGCAAAATGACATATTACCTTTTGATTGTTTTTGAATTTATCATCCTGTATTTCTTTAGTTTAACAGACAGAATTAACCGTTGGTGGGTAATTGTCGTTTTCAAACTTTTTAGGTAGTAAATGTTGTTAGAGCAAATTTACGGTGTGAAGATGTCGTTTGGCAATGGAAAATGATAAAATGACTTAGATGTCCTTTATTTTTTTAAGTGAATTAGCTCTTAAAACCTTAATTTTAAAAGTTTTGAAAATAAAAAAAGGCCAAAACCAATTTTTTTTTTTAAAGGAAATCGAAAAAAACAAAAAACGAAAAATTTAATTAAATAAAAAACTAAAAAAAATTATTATTTATTTTGCAAAAAGGGATAATTTAAATATTTTATTTAATTTTTATTTCCAATTCGATAACTATTAATTTTTATTATTTATTTTGTAAAAAAGAATAATTTAAATTTGTTTAGTTACATCTTTACCATTATATAAAGTTAAATCTAACGCCAAGTAATTGTTTATTGTCCTTTAATTGAACAAATTGTAACTTATTTCTTCTCATTAATAAAATCTAAAAAGTTTGTACCGTAATTAATAATATCCTTAGAATTTATATCATTTTGTTATCCACTAATTCATACACGGGTTATATATTAATTATTGGCAAGGAGTGTAACCCCTAAATAGTCCTAATTTGGATTGCATTGCTCTACGGCCCAATCACTTATCTTGCTTTTTTTTTTTTTTTCTTTTTCAAAATGGAAATAGGTAAAGCCTACCAACGAATATCTGAAGAAAAATAAACTAATTTCTTGATATATTTTTCCATTTGGTACAAACCCTGTTGGGTAAAGCGTGCGCACGCGCACACACACATACACATATATATTGTTTTTGTTATTTGTTTCATTTTCACTTACCCATTAAATCTTGAATGCATACATAGTTATTGCCTCTATTTTAAAACCCAGCTCGACTAGACTAGTTGGACCGAGAATCGGCCATTGAGTCGGGCCGATCAGGGTGAAAAACTGAGGGTAAAAGTTCACCTAGTTTGACCCACGGTTGGATCGGGTTTACTATAGCAAAGCGCTGGTGCAACTGGTTTTAACCCAAAACCGGGTGAACATTCGCTTTCAATCTCCCTACATCATTATTTCTTTCTTTCTTTTTCTTTCCCTCCTTTCTCCTCTTCTCTCCTCTTCTCGTCTATCTTCTTCTTTCTTTGGCCCTCATCGGTAATGTGTTCCAACGACCAAAGCTAGCCAACCGGCGAAGGACCTTGCTACGATCAGTTCTAGCCAACTGCCTGCACATTGCAATTGGTTAGATCCCTGCAGCCTACCTAATGTTAATTTATCTTTTTTTTTTTTTTGTTGTGGAAATTGATAGATGTTATCTAGGTGTTCAATCAATACATGTTCGATTTGATTGAAGAAATCTATTTTTGCTTTGGGTGTTAAGAATGACAAAGAAATTGATTTGGGGTAATTGATTGAAGAAACTGATTGATCAATTTGTGGGTTTGGTGGAAGAAATTTGATTGATCGATTTGTGGATTTAATCAAAGAATTAATGTGATTGAAGAAATTTATTTAGGTTTTTGAAGCTCTCTATGTGTTTTTGTTTTTGTGTGTGTGAGAGAAAGAGTGAGTGCTAAAAGAGGATTGGATTTGGTTAAGAGGGGAATGGAGGGTGGAGACTGAAACAAAGAAGAGGAATGGAGGGTGGAGATTAAAAGGATTATCTTGAAAGTGGAAAGATTGACTGGTTCAACCCACCAGTTGGACTGGTTCGACCGCTTGGCCCAAGACTCGATCGCCTGATTGAGTCACTGCATGGGCTGAGTTTCAAAACATTGGTTATTAGAATGTGTAAAATATCTCTTAAGTATTGTGGTTTTTAATAGTTTTAGAAGGTATACATATTAACCGATCTCACAATGTAAGTGAAATCCTTATAATTAAAACTATAGACTGAAGAGAAAAAAACATGGATTAGGAACAAGTGGTTTTGATTGAATTGTTTTGGTATGATTCAAAATCAATGGGTTGGTAAATTCAATGAGTTTGATGTGGTTTTAGTCCTACCATGTGGGGTAAAGTGTAAACCATTAAATTCTTGAGCAAGAAGTCAAATTGTAGACTTAGATTTATAGTGATATGATTGGGTTAATTTGATAAAGGTGGACTTTTATATTTAGAATCCCATGCATGTATTCTCCTACTTTTCAAACCAACATTTAACCTAACTTTCATTACCTCTAATAAGTAGATATTAATTGATTGACATATTAAAATTGCTTTTAAGTTACATTGAATCTCAACCAGCTGATATATCTTCTTCTTATCACTTAAAATTACATTTAAGTTACATTGAATCTCAACCAATGAGATCCCATGCAATTAAAGAAGGAGAAGATCTAAATCCTGAGTAAAATTATACATAACTTTAGGTTTTTTAATCAATTAATCAAAATTAAAACATAATTGTAAATGAGGTCAAGACTTTTCTTGCTTTTTCCTTTCTTTTCATGAGACATTAGGTGAATTAGAGTCCACTATATATGTCCATTTCATAGTAGTTACAATCTCCCTATCTTCTTATGATGAGTTGGTAGTGATTAAACATTTTTTCACATAAACTTTTTGATTAAAATGTAAGTCATTATGAAAAAACAGTACCTAATTAAAGTTTGCCCACCTATATATCTAGCCTTACAAAACAACTTTTCAATCAATGAATAATGTAATTTTTTTGAAATTCCTTCCTACATATATATTTTTTTTTTCTGTAACAAGGTGTTCGGGCCAACTTACGTGAACCTTGACTAATCTTCGAAAGAGACTAGCGTAGTAATCTATCGCCACAAGACCCCACTTAAATCGCGAATGCTCAAATGGATTGAACCTGAGACTGTAAACCTATCTATATTATCTCCGATTTACCCTAACCATTTGGACTAACTACAGATGCGTAATAGCTTCCTATATTTACATACCTTTCATTGCCTTTTTGTTAACACTACCAGAAAATAGGGTTTTGACAACATGCAATGTCTATTGTCTAAATTCTTTTACAATAAACACCAATGATGTCTCATATGTACTAAAGATCGAAAACAGATAAATATTTCTTATCGCGCAAAACTTATTGTCATATGATCAAATCTGACATCATATAAAAATATATCAGAGGTTCAAACCAAAATTATAATAATTGAGTCTTTTGACTTGTATCCATTTGAGAATTAATTCATTAATTTTCTCATGAGAAATTCTTAATCTTAATCTTAATTTTAATAAGATAATGACAAATTTTAGATAATCTGACACATTTTTACAGCTCGTCCTGGTTTATCTTAATCACACATTAATCATCCATTAGAGTTGAATTTATTAACACGAATTATTAATTAAGAATTAATGATCAATCATTGAGTATTATATATTGTTTTTTTTTTTTTTTTCTTAAAAAGCTTACAATACATATATCTATTTTAAAACATTCCCTCTGCAAAATGTTCAACAAAAGCTAACTCTGGATAATGAGAGCTTGCTGCTGCATGATAAAAAACCTTTTGTTCTTGTCAAAGTTTATGGAAGACTTTTGACACCACTTAATTTAATTTATTCTAATTAATCTCAACATCTTCATCCTTTCACCTTCAACAATTTGAACACATTGTGAATTTGTAGAATATTTATAACATGTCGAATTTTCATAGTTTGGCTCATTAGTAGAAAAAAGAGTTATCCACTAAAGGGAATGGAAAAATTAATTGACCAAATCAAAGAAAATCCAATTTAAATATTAGTTGATGTATGCTTCTTGTTGGTAAAGTCATTTTCTCTTGCAATAGACATTTGATATTAAATAAATTATAACAACTGTATCTGAGAATTTTTATATTAATGTTTGATACACCAAGATATAAGTTCCATGCTAAACTGTAGTATAAAAGACTGATTGAAATCAATTTAATGACTGCTATTAGTGATAATATTACCAGACCAGTAATATAGCAGATCTATAACTCATTATATATAAATATAAAGTTAATTAATATATTATTTACAAAATATAGTTAATAACAAGATCCTTTTTCAAACCAAAGTAGCTAAATACTCTTCACCAACACAACTGTGAAGTAATAATGCCACAGCTAGCTAGCTCTACCCATGTATAATAAGGCTTTAGAAATATTAAAGGAGAACTAAACATGGGGAACCAAAATTTACCTAAAGATATAATTTTTCTCATATCTTAACGTCTGTACTTTAATAATAAAAGCACAAACGCTCAAATCAGAAAATTACTATATATTCGTATATATAATTAATAATATATAGTAGGAACAATATATTGAGCTAGCATGTCCACATTGACTCTTCATAATGAGATTGGTCCATCACCATATCCATGTCATAGAGAGGCTTGGGTTGATGATGATGATGATGGTGGTGGTGAGAAGCCATGAGCTTGGAGGAGGAGGGCGAGCCAGTGCTGTTGCTAGGGCTAGTCGGGCCGAACCCGTGGTTTGAAAAGGGTGCAGTCTGGCTCACTCGGAGGTGAACCACCTCGGCTTGAGCCAGAGCCAGTTGGGTTTGAAGTACATCAATTTGTTGTTGTAGTGATGAAATTGCCCCAACACACCCATATACTGGATCTCTCACTCTTGCATTTGCTTCATACACCATGCTACTCACTGCATCTCCTCTTTGATGCACAGGCAATTCCTGAAGTTTCACAATCAAATAGAAAATAAATACAAATGAGACGTAGTTTTATCATCTTTCTGTACATCTTATATCGAGCTTTTAGCTTTCCAATTGTAATGCATAGAGTCTTAGGTTAAACAGATATACTCTCTCTATATATATATATGACATAATTTCATTAGATGGGCATTTACGGTGATCTGTTCATACATCTAATAACGGTTTTTTAACTTTCCAAATTTAATGCATAGTCTGAGGTTAAATAGATGTATTATATTATTCGAAATCATGTAACAATCCCAATAACAATCAATATGTTACAAAAAGGTAAACAGAAATATATAAAAAATTATTTATTGAACAGACAAACTGATGATATAACGGCGTAATTTATTATCCTAAACTTTGTGTAAAACCTTGGTGTGAACTCTACTTGCCTTGACATCAGATTTACATCATATTTTGATCGATGTTTGAAAGAGGAGGTTGATTTTTTGCTCATCTATAAATACAAAATAAAATGTTTTATTCAAGAGTCTAAATCTTGTTTAGCTTTTACTTTTTCAGGTCATCTACATGTTACCAAATTCTAATTTTTGGATTTTCTTTGGTGCATGTCTCTATCTTTGTGGCCCTATTTCTTAAATATTCTATTAAACTAAGCTTTCTTTTTACATGATTGATTTTGATGCCTCCATTTGGTTTAGTGACCATTAATGTCCTTTCCATTGCATAATTCCTTGTCTATCCCTTTCCTTTTCATAGTAAAATGGGTTTTAGTGTTTTACTAGTACCATTTTTACAAAATTTGGGGCTATTGAGGTAATTTCACTGGTAACCAAGCAAATATACTAGTTAACCTTGAGAATTTGTGTCAGTCTATACTGATTCGAAAACCACAAATTCTTAGCAGTTTCGATAATATTTTCAGATTAATATGACGATCATTATAATCTATAATAAATCATAGTTTACCCTTTTTGCAATTTTGTATTTATTAATAAACAAATAATAAAATATGTATTAAAAGAAAAAGAATAACTTTTAACTCATAATTAAAACCTTAGAAATAAAAAATTCTCACTCTCTTTTAGGAACCCCATTTACCCATATTATAACATAGCCGCTCTCTAGGAATTAATAACAGATTGAGGGTAAAAACAAAAAACCAGGGAACTTGTGTGTCCTCGACGCAATTTTCTCAAGTCAACTCCCTCTATCTTTTTCCTTACACATTTTTTTTTGTATATAGTCCCTAAAATTTGCATGAAACCATAAACAAAATCACATGAAAAAGTTGATTTAGATCTGTCATTTTGACCCAAATTTCACCTATAACATGAAGAAGAGAAGAACTTGAAGAAAAAACTCGAAGTGATTTAAGAAAAATGCAAGTAAATTAAAAGTAGAGATGAACCTGGAGCATCTTGCTGACGTTACTAGCACCAAAAACCTTGTGCACATTGGCAAATTTCTGGGGCTCATCTGCAGGAAAATAAGGAGCAAAAACACAGTCTTGAGCACACCTTCTCCTTAAAAGCTTGCATGCTGCACATGGTGAAGGTGCTCCTTGCTTTCTTCCACTCTCCTTCATGCTCTTTTCTTCCAATTGTGTAACTTTACGGCACAAAAGTACAAAAACACAAACACAATAGCCCCAAATTCTCACTTGTGAACATACAACTTGCCCTCAATTTGTAGGGCACCTTGCATCGAAAAGACAAAAGGGTATTGTGCTCAAAGACAAAAGATCAAAAAGAGAGAGCTATAGCGAGCTAGTGAAGAGAGGAAGAAAGAGCAAGATATGATAAAGTACTGCTATAGAGAGAAAGATTGACAAGGAAATTAAAAGAGAAGATGAAGAGGGGTTGAAGGGGAGAGGTTGAGCTGATTATATAAGGAAAAGAGTGAGAGAGTGAGTAAACATTTGAGGACGTGGGCTCATCTACATCTCTATTGACAAGACTCTTTTTAGTTTATTTAATGGGTTTTTTTTTTTTTTTTAAATTATTTCTGGGGTTGTGGATAATTTATTCTATTTTTGATTTAATTATCTGAATGTGTCCATGAATGCATGCTATTATATAGTATAATACTCATAATATAAAGGTATGATTTTGTTGGGTTTTTGTCAATTAAAGAAGGTTCATGATGGTTCATTTGGTGGGTCCTTATATTCTACCTAAATAGTGTTCTAAAATATGATGCTTCCATGGATACTTGAGACATGAATCAACACATTCTACCCCATCTCGTAACCTTGGTTAGTGTTAATTTTAATGTTTCCCCTGTATATCACTAAATTACAAGTTACCCCTCAAGTGTCGAAAGTAACAAGTTCCATTCTGTTGTTAAAGATTCGTTGGGGTTTACTGTTTAATTAAATACATCAAGGAAAAAAAAATAGGTTAGTCAGATAATGGAAATTTTGATAAAATAGTGACTAGAGAAATGTACATAAACTTTTTAATTTTATGTTATCAAAATGTTTATAATATAAAAAGAAAAATAACATGGGATGTTTTTGATATTTTAAAAAAACTTCAAATAAACCTTAAAAATATTAAAGCCCAAATTTTAAACTCTCCTATTAGACATGAAGCACAACAAAATTAATCACCTATAAGCTTTTCTGAATTGCAACCAAACCTCACACAAAAACTTAAAAAAATAACGGGTTCTTGAAATTTTGAAAACTATTGATTCCATTTATCAACCAAAACTTTAGGGGGCTAAATGATAGTTATCCAATTATAAAAATTAGAGAAATTATGGATCCAATGTATGAAATATGAATAAAAAGTTTTCCATTTCTAGTGTTCCACGCACTTGGAAATATTAAATCTATTGGCTCTTCATGTGGCGCATGGATTTTGGATTATATATCAAATTGGTGTGAATATATGGACCAAATAATACTAGAATTGGGAATATACCAAGGGTACATGACTAGAATTTTAAGTCTCTAAAGCTAAAGCTAAAGAAAAAGGGAGAAAAGTAAATTGTATGCACTCTTTGTTCGAAAGTTAGAGGTGTAGATGATTACTCTTTATGAAAATATTCTTGGAAATATTTTGCAAAAGTAGTGGTTATGAAATGAGGATTTGGAAAACACTAAGGAGTACTGTATATGACAATTGATTAAACAATTTGGAGGGGTGTTGAGTCTTTTACTTTGGCAATTACTAGTGGAAATCAATTGACATTTGTATAGAAGTTAAAAATTGAGACTTCCTTTTAATACAACTTTTTTAAGTGGGATTATGAAAGCAGAGTAGAATTTTAAGAAAGATATATAATTTTGTCAGGTGTGCACGATTAATTATGCATTACTTTAGGTCTGTTAAGGTCAATACTTGAAATAATCGAAATTATAAAAAAAAAAAATCAATACTAGAGGGTTTATAGTACCACAAAAGCATCACATCAGCCATACTATAAGCTACTATGTATATCATAAAATATACGCGTAATGAAGACATCAGTTTGTAGAGTAAAACTGATGTGGTACCCTTTATGATACTGTTAAGATTGATTTCACATAACATCTACTAATTGATTGAAGTGCNATTTGCATGAAACCATAAACAAAATCACATGAAAAAGTTGATTTAGATCTGTCATTTTGACCCAAATTTCACCTATAACATGAAGAAGAGAAGAACTTGAAGAAAAAACTCGAAGTGATTTAAGAAAAATGCAAGTAAATTAAAAGTAGAGATGAACCTGGAGCATCTTGATGACGTTACTAGCACCAAAAACCTTGTGAACATTGGCAAATTTCTGGGGCTCATCTGCAGGAAAATAAGGAGCAAAAACACAGTCTTGAGCACACCTTCTCCTTAAAAGCTTGCATGCTGCACATGGTGAAGGTGCTCCTTGCTTTCTTCCACTCTCCTTCATGCTCTTTTCTTCCAATTGTGTAACTTTACGGCACAAAAGTACAAAAACACAAACACAATAGCCCCAAATTCTCACTTGTGAACATACAACTTGCCCTCAATTTGTAGGGCACCTTGCGTCGAAAAGACAAAAGGGTATTGTGCTCAAAGACAAAAGATCAAAAAGAGAGAGCTATAGTGAGCTAGTGAAGAGAGGAAGAAAGAGCAAGATATGATAAAGTACTGCTATAGAGAGAAAGATTGACAAGGAAATTAAAAGAGAAGATGAAGAGGGGTTGAAGGGGAGAGGTTGAGCTGATTATATAAGGAAAAGAGTGAGAGAGTGAGTAAACATTTGAGGACGTGGGCTCATCTACATCTCTATTGACAAGACTCTTTTTAGTTTATTTAATGGGTTTTTTTTTTTTTTTTAAATTATTTCTGGGGTTGTGGATAATTTATTCTATTTTTGATTTAATTATCTGAATGTGTCCATGAATGCATGCTATTATATAGTATAATACTCATAATATAAAGGTATGATTTTGTTGGGTTTTTGTCAATTAAAGAAGGTTCATGATGGTTCATTTGGTGGGTCCTTATATTCTACCTAAATAGTGTTCTAAAATATGATGCTTCCATGGATACTTGAGACATGAATCAACACATTCTACCCCATCTTGTAACCTTGGTTAGTGTTAATTTTAATGTTTCCCCTGTATATCACTAAATTACAAGTTACCCCTCAAGTATCGAAAGTAACAAGTTCCATTCTGTTGTCAAAGATTCGTTGGGGTTTACTGTTTAATTAAATAAATCAAGGAAAAAAAAATAGGTAAGTCAGATAATGGAAATTTTGATAAAATAGTGACTAGAGAAATGTACATAAACTTTTTAATTTTATGTTATCAAAATGTTTATAACATAAAAAGAACAATAACATGGGATGTTTTTGATATTTTAAAAAAACTTCAAATAAACCTTAAAAATATTAAAGCCCAAATTTTAAACTCTCCTATTAGACATGAAGCACAACAAAATTAATCACCTATAAGCTTTTCTGAATTGCAACCAAACCTCACACAAAAACTTAAAAAAATAACGGGTTCTTGAAATTTTGAAAACTATTGATTCCATTTATCAACCAAAACTTTAGGGGGCTAAATGATAGTTATCCAATTATAAAAATTAGAGAAATTATGGATCCAATGTATGAAATATGAATAAAAAGTTTTCCATTTCTAGTGTTCCACGCCCTTGGAAATATTAAATCTATTGGCTCTTCATGTGGCGCATGGATTTTGGATTATATATCAAATTGGTGTGAATATATGGACCAAATAATACTAGAATTGGGAATATACCAAGGGTACATGACTAGAATTTTAAGTCTCTAAAGCTAAAGCTAAAGAAAAAGGGAGAAAAGTAAATTGTATGCACTCTTTGTTAGAAAGTTAGAGGTGTAGATGATTACTCTTTTTGAAAATATTCTTGGAAATATTTTGCAAAAGTAGTGGTTATGAAATGAGGATTTGGAAAACACTAAGGAGTACTGTATATGACAATTGATTAAACAATTTGGAGGGGTGTTGAGTCTTTTACTTTGGCAATTACTAGTGGAAATCAATTGACATTTGTATAGAAGTTAAAAATTGAGACTTCCTTTTAATACAACTTTTTTAAGTGGGATTATGAAAGCAGAGTAGAATTTTAAGAAAGATATATAATTTTGTCAGGTGTGCACGATTAATTATGCATTACTTTAGGTCTGTTAAGGTCAATACTTGAAATAATCGAAATTATAAAAAAAAAAAATCAATACTAGAGGGTTTATAGTACCACAAAAGCATCACATCAGCAATACTATAAGCTACTATGTATATCATAAAATATACGCGTAATAAAGACATCAGTTTGTAGAGTAAAACTGATGTGGTACCCTTTATGATACTGTTAAGATTGATTTCACATAACATCTACTAATTGATTGAAGAGCATTAAGACTTATAAATTAATCGAGACTTGAGACTTAGATTCAATTGTTAAATATATAAATAGGATGTCATAATGTGAAGGTCAACCAAAAACATAAAGAAATAAAAAGGCCTCAATCCTCATGCAATTACATAACAATTCAAGTATATGGCCTTCCTCTTCTTCATCTTGTTCCTGCCTTGACTTCTAAGCTACAATATTATGTATGCTTAGTGACTAACCACCTGCCCCAACAACAATAATACTTAGCAAACTTTTCACTTTACTATTTCTTTATAATCCTCTTTAGAATATCCACTAATTAATTAATATCTTAGTGGTTTTTTAATTAATTAATTAGCTAAAAAAAAGTAAGTGGTTTGGACCAATTAACCACCATAATCATCAACAGACAAAATGAATTCCTGTATAGATGCCATATATATCATGACTTCAACTCAAACATGCCCTTCAAATCTTTAATTAATTTGTCATTAAATTTTTAGATTAAAAATAATAATTAAATAGTATTTAATTTCATTGACTTTTTGCCAACATCAAGAAATAAACTGTCTCAAATCTCTCATTCTAGTGGATGAATATGACATAAAATTATTATCGCATTAACCAAAATCATTACTATAATCATACCTAAAAGATGGTTTTGAAATAAGTCTAACATATGATTAGTTGTGAATGATTTTGTTAGATTTTAATATATATTTTTCTTGGCGGGGATTCTTTACAAAGTCTTCATCTACAATCCACATATTTATAATTATGGACCTCCTGATTCTTATAAAATCCGGCGTAAGTTAGTTTGTGTTATCTAATAATTAAAAGGTAAAAATTTTAATCTTGATCTGATGGTCAAGAAGGTTTGTTCATTTTATTAATTTTTTGAGTTTAAACCACCTTAAAATCACGTACTACATTTGTGACTTACTGGAAATATTAGATTTATAAGGTGTTCAATAAATCTTAAAGATTAATTAAGATACATAAAAGTTAACCCGAATACTTCAGTTATA